ACGTCATAAATACCTCTTACATAAGGCAGTAAAAGGTATTTATCGGAAGTATATGTAGGGAGTATTTCTGCCGCACCTATATATATATATATATATATATATATATATATATATATATATATATATATAAGATGTATACAAATTTTAACAGCTGATAACTTAATGTTTTTTTTTCTAATTTTTTTTTTTAGAATTAATAATGACAGTGAAACTGAGCTTTGAACAGTAGAAATTCATTCTAAAATGATACTGGAAGTGTGAAAACACTTTTGAAGTGCAAAGACAGTTTAGGAGGGAGTTTCAAACTGATCCACCAATGCGACTTACTACCACTCGAAACAGAGATAAGTTTGAAGCCGATGGAACTCTTCAAATTGTTCACGAGAAGCGTTCTGCAAGACCATGGATGTCGACAAGCACCAAAAAAGCAAGAAAGAATACTGGAAACATATCACTAAAGTCCAAGAAGATCTGTGCGGAGAGTCGTGATGTAGGTATTTCAAAATCGTCTGTCCAACGCATTTTTGAAACGCTGTCAATGGAAAAGTTACATTCCAAGATTAGTCCATGCTATTAATGACGATAGTCCAAACCGATGAGTGAAGTCTTGCGAGTGGTACTTGGCACGATGTGTAGACGATGCACACTTTCCAACAAAGATAGTGTTGAGTGATGGGGCTACATTCTAATTAAATGGTTCAGTTAACCGCCACAGTTGCCCCTACTGCATATAATGGTGGAATATCATCTTAATTTACCAGCAGTTACAGTGTAGTGCGGTTTATCATCAAGAAGATTAACTGGACAATTCTTTTTTTACGCTACTGTGACTGGTCCCGTTAACTTGAATTTACTGCAACAATCTCTCATGCCAAGCGTTAGAGAGTACTTTTAAGATGAGGAGTTATATTTTCAGCAAGATGGGGCATCTCCCATACTGCCATCACGATGTCAGATCCTACCTTGATGAGATCTTGCCAAATAGGTGGATTGGACGAAGTGGTTACGTAGAATACCATCTGCGTTCACCAAATATCATGTCATTAGAGTTTAAAAGGAATACTTAAAGTCCACGCTATGAAACCTGCAACAGCCGCTGAATTGAGAGCAGCCATTGAACGAGAATGCACAAAACTACCAGACAAAATGTTGATGTTTACGATTCCATTGCTGCGCGTTATCAGCGGTGACTGAGCCAGAACGGACGTTAGAGTGAAAACAGGCTTTGACAAAAAAATAAAATAATATCTGTAGATTCCATTAAGTTGTGAAAATAAAATGTATTTTAATAAACACTGACTATATAATTATTATTTAAAGTTTTTATACATTATTAGGGGACACTCTTTGGAAAAAAAAAGAAAGAAATAGAAACATCCGAACAGGGCAAAATAAATCGTCCAGTGCCTTAAGTTTCTAGTCCAAAAGAAAGAAAAAAAACAAGCGAGTAATTAAGCTAAAAGCGTAGAGTGCTCAATACACTAACTAGAGCAGGGATAAATGGAATAAATCCTAAAGAGCCAGGAACAACTTACCTAGTTTAAACCTAAACGGATCTTTCAGGGTAATCTTACCCTGAAGATCCGTTTAAAAAAAACTAGGTATGTTGCTACTTACTTCTTATATATATATATATATATATATATATATATATATATATATATATATATATATTTGTCTGAAGTTCTGGGATGAGGAGTTACCATTACTTACACTATTTATATTCAGACTATTGGCCTTGCATTTTTTTTCATATATATAAATGTGTGTACGGGTTCTCGTGTGCGTGCGTCAGATGTTTATGCAGTCATTGTTATCAGTAGAAATAGGATTTATTAAACAAATAGATCCATCCTTTTATTCATCATAATCATTATATATCTAATGGCACAAGAAATACAAAAACATATATATATATATATATATATATATATATATATATATATATATATATATATATATATGCGGTGTAAGCAGTAGCCGAATTTTCTATTGTATCCGTAGATACTAAGGAATGGCTTAAGTCTCTTCCGAGTAGAAAGTTACGTCCTGGGAAACAGAAAATGAGGGTGAAGTGTTATTAAATATATTAATGCTATTGTGTTCTGAGTAGTTATCTGATAGAAAGTGCACCCAAGGAAAACACGGAAGAAGAAATAGTGATCATACGAGGAGGCTGAAGAAGAAGAAGGAGGAGGAGGAGGAGGAGTAGAAGAAGAAGAAGGAGGAAGAGGAGGAGGAGGAGAAGAAGAAGAAGGAGGAGGAGGAGGAGTAGAAGAAGAAGAAGGAGGAAGAGGAGTAGGAGGAGGAGAAGAAGAATAAGAAGAAGGAGGAGGAGGAGGCGGAGAAGAAGAAGAAGGGGAACGAGGAGGAGATTGATTGATTGGTTTTCTATGGCTAATCAACTCGTTGCGGTTCATTTAAAAACAAAATAATTTTAGATTGTAAGAATTTCTATTTTTTTTTAGATAATAATGATTTAGCTGACGCGGGTTGGGGAGGAGAAGTTGATTCATACCTTTCTTTCCCAAGGGTTTTTGCGCGTTTAAGTGAATATAACGAAGCCATCTGGAATTGGAACTCGGCTTCCCACTTAACAAATTAACACCGACACACCACCTGGTATTGCCAAGCGGTCACTCATCTAGGTACTGACCAAGCTCGACGTTGCTTAACTTCGAGGATCATACGAGAACCGGCGCTTCAACATAATATGGTCATAAAGAAGGAACAGGAAGAGGAGGAGGAGGAGAAGAAGAAGAAGAGGAAGAAGAAAATAAGAAAAATAAAAAGGTGTAGTTAGCTAAATAA